CCCCCTTTGGTCCAAAACTGTGCTCCTACAAATCCCCACTTTGGTCCAAAACTGTGCTCCTACAAATCCCCCCTTTGGTCCAAAACTGTGCTCCTACAAATCCCCACTTTGGTCCAAAACTGTGCTCCTACAAATCCCCCTTTGCAAACATGTCAACTTGTACGGATTGTCTGTAAGTTATAAGGATTTGACATCATTTTGCAGGTATACGGACGTATAGAGCAATCTCACAGATTTTTTCAAGTCGTACGGATTTTTTCAAAACCTCATTTTCAAATTTATCTAACATGTCAGAGCCTATAGGATGATTAAAAAAACAATATATAACACCAAACAGCCATCTTCCAACCTGTTCTGCTGCTAGAAATAAGTTTTGAACTTTTTCCTGCCTCGCAGTGGCGCTTTCATGTCCACAACTAATGGTCCTCAGATTGCTAAGCAGAAGGAGGGGGTTTGTCCTCAGGATCTTGAAATTTCAGTCTCTTCAGTTTTAACCTATCCTACAGGTCATGTTCCTACATCCAGTCCCTTACAGACTAGCTTATGGTTATGATTATGGTGACGTACAGAAGTACACACGTCTGCCTCAAAAACTCTCCTTCACAAATGATGTTATTTATCAGCCTGATGTACAGTGTGTGACTGCAGCTTCATGACATGAAAACYAGTGCCTCCTGTAATCCCTGATAAACTAATTAACTCTCTGCTCTGGCAGACTGCTTCACTGGTTTCTCTCATTTAGGAAAATCCTGTTAGAGTCACTTCTTACTACTCACACTCAAATCCCAGTCTGAGCTCTGGTAACCTCTTCTWTCTCCTCATAGCTGAAGCTTGTACCTGCTTATTCCACACTAGAATCATCTGCTGCAGACCCTAAAGTTCACTTTTTAAATATATATACATACATAACAATGCAATCACAACAAGATCATCATACTTACTTTTAATTAACTGTTTCCTGACGATTGTCATGGTTTTTATTATTAGTGTCTTTAGTGGTTCCCTTTGCTCTTTTCTAGATTTGCTGCAACATGTTGTAAATATGATGACTGAAATTGTTTAAAGACGCAATATCATGTAAAATCAACTTTTTTGAGTTTTATATCATGTTATAATGTTATACTCTCATAAAAAAACTTGACCAAAGCCTTGCTCTGACTCATTCATCTTGTTTGAGAAATCCTGCAGTGTTTTTATGAAGCCATGCTGAGGAGCAAAA